TTGAGATATTTAGTAACTGATTTTATCGGACGAATAGTCGGAATTTTACTCGTCGCAGTGTGATCGTACTGGTTCTGTGCTGCGTCACGCGCTGCGCAGCTACCCTAATTGATATTAGTTTAACTTATAATCGAATTAATTAAAAAAGGGGGATCGATAAAATAAACATCTATAATAGTATTTATTTATTCATAAATTTTATACTAATTATTTTAGCGAAAGCCTTTCTATTAAATAATATTAATAAAATAATAAGAATATATATCCATTTATAGATCCTTGGTCTTTTAACAATAGGTTGAAGTCTATTCTTGTTATAAATTAAAATAGCATCTCTTGCACCTTCCCAAGAATTTCTCCCTATTAGTCGATACTATAAAAATGTCCGAATCTAAATTTAGTGCAAACATAAACTTTTTTGACACAGTTATTGTAATGAAAAAATTACGTACTTGAATAGGAGTAGCTATGCCGAATATAATTAATTTCCAAAATTTAAAACCAAATCTTTTAATTATTTCATAAGAATAAGGATAACATCCAATTTCTTTGCTCAAAGAATCCATATAAGGTAGATAACTTCGACGAATAGTACTACGGGCAGCTTTACAGTACGTTTTACGAATATTTTCATAATAATTACGTATAGATTTTTCCATTTCACTTTGTGATGGGAGTGGTTTGATAAATCCTTTAATTTGGCTTGTTATATAACGCGCTTGCATTTCACTTTGTTATAATATAAATTCAATGAATATAATATCGAGGATAAATAAAAAGTACAAATAAATTAATATTTCTAAATCCTAACTCACGTAACTGGTGGGAAGGCACCGGCTGCTACTAACAATCCAATAAAAGCAATATTTGGATACTTTGGAGGAAACATTGATTTATATAACCAAACTAAATCCTTAAAATCTTTGCCATATTCTTGTTCAATCTCATTTCCTCCTGTAAAAATATCCTTTTCTAAAAAAGAATAATCGATATGATATCCAGTAGAATAAATAACAACATCAATATTATCCAAGATAGTTTCATCGATAAATTCAATTTGGTTATTTTCAGATTTAAATTCTTTAATGTTCGGTTTTACAATAATCGTACCAGCTGCGAGGCACTCAAAGATGTCAGAGTTAGTAGTAGGATATGTAGAAAATAAAGGATCGGTGGGCTTTAAGTATGAAGGAAATGGGTCATATGATTTAGAAAAATTATTTTCAGCTATTCTTCCTCTGATGCTAGGCGGAATTACATATGTAGAAAAGCGAGATGCATGATGATCACGCGCTTTACCATTTACGAAGCGTGGTATTAGCCATGGAAGTTTTCCTATATAATGACAAGATTTTAAATATAATTATCTGAAAAAATTATTAAAATTATAAAATAAATAATTTACCTCTTCGAATACTTAAATAAACTTGTGATGTGGCATGAGTTAATTCAACTGCGATGTCTATTGCGCTAAAACGAATTAATGAATAAAGAATTTTAAATTTGAATATAACTACATATAATTTATTTATATTAATACCTATTTCCACTACCAACAACTAGAACTCGTTTATTTTCAAAATTTATAGCTCTAAAATAAATATAATTCATAATATTTATAATAATAATTTATAATGATAATATTGATAATAATAAGTTTATATAAAGTAATTTGTCAAGTCATCAATAAACCCACCGTTTATACTTATAAGAATGCATTTGTTCACCCTTAAATAAATTCATTCCTTTAAATTCTGGCCATATAGGTTTATGATGATGACCGGAGCAAACCATTACGAAGTCAAAAATTTCTTCGTTTTCTTCATTTTTATTTTGAATAATATATTTAACTTTCCAACGTTTGTCAGGAAGTATTGATACCTTTAACACGGTAGTATTAAATTTAATGTGAGGTAAAAGATTAAAATTTTCAGCGTATAGATTAAGGTATCTATATTTGATCAAATTAAATATTATGAGAAATTGCTTGTAAAAAAAAAAAATGAAATGTTACGACTGATGCTGAAATTGCGATTTATTGTATTATGAAATTTTAAAGTTTTGAATGTTCATTTTTGATAGCTTTGTTTTTGGAGATAGGCTAGGATGTAGGGTTAAAGATGTTATATAAAAGATAATATGAGGGTCTTAATGGGTCTATATTTTTAAATAGAGACATCAATTTTCATATTCAGCTGCAACAATTAAGTTTACTGAATGAAAAGATTACTTGTCTAATAATGAATGATGAAAAAAAGTTGGCCAGTCTGCTGGAATTGGAAAATCAGAATACGTCGACTATTTAACAATAACATAAATAAATTTTTATAAATTTTTTTTGACAAACTCAATTAAAAAAAAAAACCAACCATTTCCTTCGATGTATTGGTTATTATACTTTGATAAATTGTAGAATAAGGTTCTTTGTTTTTTTCGCTAACCTCTTCATATTTCCATAAACCACCAATAAATGAATTTTGTTCGAAACAAATTGGAATCAAATCATCGTCCAGACACTGTTTTATCGCAGATAAACCCGAAATTCCTGTTATTAATGTTATTGAATCTCTTATTTAAAATGAATATTTCTTGTCAATAATCAAATTACACTTAAATTTGTAAAGATTTTACCTGCGCCTATAATTGCAACATGTAATTTAGACATACTTTTTTTTTAATGACTAAGAAAAGTAATTTATAAAATGATCAGGGGATATGTCACACTGCAGGGGGATCTGTACCTATTGTAGTACTTTAGTATTTTAGTATGGCGGGTCTGATCTCTCGATTATCGCGGCTTAGTCGTTGGAGGCGTGTTAGATTTGTCGAGTGAGTTTGGTGTCCGTAGGTAATTAATTCCTTCTTTAGTCTTCTATTCTTCTATGTCAATAATTCTCTACTAACTTTATCCTCAATTACCTCACTACTTCAGGTAACTGGACAAAGTTATAACCACAACTATCACACTACTTCAGATTAATAAACCACGACTGATACAACAGTTGAACAGGGTTTCAATAATTCGGGGGGAGGGGGTAATTACAATATAACGGGTTTAGTGGTTAGCGGTTTAGCGAATATTATAGTTTAGTTATTAGGACTGTATTATGTATCAGACGAGACCTATTGTCTTATAGGGCCAACACGGCCTTTATTTATAATAAAATATTTAATCTATATACATTTAGTAACCTATTATGGCTATTATGCTAGTAATGCCCGTTTTGCCTATTTAGTCCTTTAGGTCCAAAAGAGTTTTTTTATCCGTTTGGACTTTTTGGTCAGAAATGCCATATCTATCTTCTAGGGATGTTAATTAGTCCCGCAGTAATTATCAGCTGACTTTGAGTAAGGTTTATGCAAAATTTTCTAATTTTGTCCAATAAGTAAAGTTATAGAAGCATGGTTAAAAATCCGTTGATTGGTTGATTAAATTGTGATGTGCATGTGAAATTTGCATGTGATATGGACTAATCAAAATCTACGAAATATATACTTTAAAGTTCGAAAGGCGTTTTTTTTTTCGAAAAGCAATTTTAGTTTTAGATGCATACAAATTTGCTATTGTTTATTTTTTTAATATGTACATTTAAGTATATTAAAAATTTTATGTAAGCATTTAAGTTTTATTAAATCGAATCTTGAAAACAATCTTTAATAAATTCTATTAAAAATTATTCAAGAGTTAATAATAGCGATAGTGACAGTGAATATATATATATTAAAATAATATCTACCTGTAATCTTCTCTTTTAACCTTTCATCAATCTTGACACATTCTTTTACAGGTTCAACATCTTCTGAAACATCAGACTCGAGTTAAGTTTCCGAATCGATTTGGCTATTAATATTCTCATTCATTCATAATCTTTCATTGTATGACTGTGACAAATTCTCGATTGAATTAGAAAGATATTCGAAACAATAATAGCAATAAAATCCTAAAACTTGAAAGCAAAATTTATGATAGCTATGTTCACAAATTAGTATTCGAACTTTATTTAATAGATTAACACATTCAATATAATCACATAATTTATTAGCTATAGGATGATTATTTGAATGATATCCAAGTAGTAAAACTTTAAAGGAAATCAAGATTAAATACCTAGAAAATAACAAAAATCTTTTTTGGATTTTATTCTTTCTTTTTTTATTTCAGTTTTATTAAAATTTTTCTATAAATTATGAAAAAAAATCAAGCAAAAAAATAGCAGATAATTTTACCAAATTATCCAAGTCTTTTTCTATATAAGGATAATCATGTTTTAACTCAAATTATAAAACAAATGCATTTTCATGTCAATAATTATCAATAAATATTGCATCTTTTCTCAATAATTTCCTAACAGTTACTTTTGTACTAGTATAGCATTGTAGTAA